GCATCCCTACAAAGCCGGGACGGAGCACGCCGGGTTCTCACCGGACCAGGCTCTCACATCACCAAGCGCGAAGCGCCGTGAGTTATTCGGCGAGTCGCATGAAGGGTGCGCTGCATCCTGCTAAGGGTGTTCGGCATCTTGTGCTTGCTTCCTTACGTACGGATGACAGCTGCGTATGACTTAATTTACTTTCTGGTGCTTTCACTTCCAGAGACAGTTGTAAGCACCGTGTAACTGCCTCGAGGGTGCTTGACCGTTTTAACACAACGTGGTGCAATCATCCCCCTTGCGCGGAGTGAGGGTTCTCTACCCCGCACAACATGATCTACTCGACCACCATAATGGTTACCGCCAAAAAAAAAACGGAGGTAAAAAAAAAAAACCGGTAACCTGGTTGCCGAGTTCACGAAGTGAATTGGCTTGTTTTACAACGTCGTTGCCAAGCAACGAAAACCCAATCCCAATGGCAAACACCGGGGGCGGCGGCTTGTTTTACAACGACGTTGTCAAGCGACGAAAACCCAACCCCGATGGCAAACACCGGGGGAGGCGGCTTGTTTTACAACGACGTTGCCAAGCGACGAAAACCCAACCCCGACGGCAAACACCGCACCGGGGGGGCGGTCTTGTGGGGGGGATGCGGTTAAACATGGTCCGCTTTGGACGAAACCGAAAATCTGGCAGGTGTTGTGTTTCTACCATACAGGTAGATGACTGGCCGCACAACCCAACCGTACCATATTCCAGCCTGAAGGGAATCGTTCGTTTTCAGCACAAGCGTATCTGACACGGGATAGTTTTTCTGCTCTGTTTGTACATCGACCTACTCGGTGCAACTTGTATTTTGCAAGATCGGCCTCCGTCTCCTCCGGGAACTGGTGACTCTCGACGTGAGCTACAACCGCCTCAAGACGTGGCCGCCGCAGGTGGAAGGGTGCAGGAAGTTGCGCGACTTGCGTCTAGACCACAACAAGCTTCAAGAGGCGAGTAAAGGCTGTACTTGGAGCAATACATGGTAGCGTGGCCTAGAAGGGAAAATGTATGATTGAGGTGATAATATTCGTTTCGTGTGGTCGAGAAAAGGATCTACAGTTGTGTGCTGGACCGGAAGGTACTTCAAGCTCGGGCCCAAAGAGCTCGCGTAAGTAAGCTTACCAGTCGAACATCCGGGCCCAAGAGGAAAAGTGCATTGGGCGCTGTTCTACCAATCGAAAACCAACCAGGTCGGTGTCATCTCAACTATCCAATACCCCACTCTGCCTTGCTCGACGAAACCACTGTACGACCACCGCTCACAACAATGCTGATTTTACAGGTGCCCGCCATCGTTGGGGACAACACGGCCCTCACGAACCTCAATCTTAGCGGCAACAGCCTCAAAGACCTCCCAGACACCATCAATTCCCTCTCGGCTTTGACCCGCCTCGACCTCTCCAACAACAAGCTCAAAACTCACTCCATCCTTCCCGTGGGAAGGAAACAAAAGGGGCCGCGCCTAGTATCCCTGGAGGTGTTGCGATTGGACGGTAACCGTCTCACGGAGGGGCCGGACATGGTGGAAACACTCAAGACGCTAACAGAACTAGAGTAAGTGCGACCTGGTCTGTCAATACAAGTAACAATCTCCCGGTTCTGGTTGGAGAGAGTACTGTTTTGTGTCATTTTACTCTTGGTACGTTGAGGTTTCCCGCGGTGAGCAACGAAAAAATTCAAGGCTACCTTTGATCTTATGCTGTCGTTTTCGTGACACCTTAACCTCCTCCCCTTCACGAACAGCTCTACGCAACTCTACGCACATGCGGTTGCCTCCGTTCTTTCAGTTTCTCTGTGCTGGAGTCGAAAGCGGGTTGACAGGGGTCAAGCGAGAACGGAAACGAAACGAAGGGACTTGATCTTTCGAATGAACAGTTTTCTGTGGATATCGGTCCTTAAAACGTACCGAGGGAGCTGCTGTTGGCTTCAACAAAACGAACGTCCTTGTCGTACTTCTTTGCGTAGGCCGTTGTAATCTTGGGCTTTGGGTACGTTTCCAGGTACAGAAAAAAATTGCCGACCGTACAAAGCTCGACACTCACCCAATACCATTCGTCCGCCATGCAACATCTTGTGATGATACGTGCCACTTTAAGACTAACAATTTCGTGCGCAGCCATCCAGACACCACGCAACAATATCAACCGCAACGACAAAAGACAACGACAACGACAACGGCAACGAGGTGATTCAGGGCTAAGCTCGCTCTCATCATTTGACGCCCTCCACTCACCCACTGCCGCCCCCCAATGTCAATCCTGCCCCCGCCTGTCCGTTCATCCGCAAAGTGTGTCCAACAATCCCATAAAAAACTGGAGCCTCGATGTGTCCAACCTCCGCAAGATGAAACACCTGCGACTGGGGGGGGTTGATCTGGACCGATGCCCAGAAGGAATAGGGCACCTGAACAAGCTAGAAAGTATCGACTTCTCCGAAAACCGCATCGATACTCTCGATCAATCAATGGCTGCTTTGTTCAAGCTAAAAAAGCTGGGCCTCAGGGGCAACAACATCAGGGTAATACCAACTTCTCTACGTGTCAACTTTTCCACCACATGGTAGCAACTTTGCCGATAGGAGCAAGTTTCGTCATCGCCCCTGTTAGGAGAGTATTGGCGGCATTACACCAAAATTTGCCATCGCCGAGGACGGTTCGAGGATGGTGGGCAACACCCTCGTCTTGCTGTACCTACTCTAAAGTTGCTCCCATCCTTGCCCCCGCCCCTCCCACACCAGGTCTGTTTCTTTCAGCGAATTTGGCTAGGTTCGGAAAAGATTGAAATCTCCCGAACTCATAGAGCACACAACGTTGAGAGCGAATCGCTCTAGTGTTCAAAACAACGTTGAGAGCGAATCGCTCTAGTGTTCAAACGTTAGGATTCTGCCTTCCTAAACTCCGTTGACTCCTGCCAGGCGAACACACACACACACACTCCGTCCACGCCATATCTGACATGTTTATTTCAACATCAATATCGACGTCGATATTTGTATCCAACGACTCTTTTAATCTGAAATCCACCACTCGAACGACAGGATCTAGGGTCTTGCGTTGGTAGCATGATCTCCCTGACGTCTCTCGACGCCGGTGGGAACAATCTGGACCTGGTTTCTCCCGAGCTGTCTCGCTGCACGGCGCTTGAGGCCCTTGACGTGAGCGGTGGGACGATAAACCAACTGCCGGACGGGTTGTCTATGCTCACCAGGCTCAGGTAAGGATCCTCCAACTCCGATGTGGAACCCAGGTTCTTGGCAGCAGCAAAACCCTGAACGCTTCTCCGTCCCTCCAAAACATGGCAAGACCCGAAGTAACCTCACCGACTTCAATGAGGGCGCCTTAAACTTCACATCCATCGAAAGCTCCCTACCCCCAGAATTTTTATTAATGTTTTCTTATCCCATTTGTGGCGGGCGCCAGCCTTCACCTTTCGGGTTAATTTGGAAGGTCACACAGGAGGATCTCTCCATCGCTTCTCTTGCGGTGCTTGCCTTCAAAAATGACGCGAGGAGCCCCTAGAAGACCCTCCCGTAATTGTGTTGTGTACGAGGTTTTCCCAACCTAGGGTCGAAGGTTTTTCGAGATTACCAACTGAACTGGCCACCCACTTTGTGATCACAATGCACACAGGGAAAAACATATGTACTCTCGTAAGAATAGCAGGTTGCAAAGAAAATGAGGCGTAAATAGGAGCAAGGACTACCTGCCCGATGTCTTGAAAACTCTTGCTGCAGTCAATTTCAGGACGATATTAGATGTTGATGTTCTTTCTCAACCAAGCATTACCTGTGTCCGATATCCCGAAAATGTTTGTTCGAATATCACGCTGGGTGGCAGCAGAATCCGTTCATTTTCCCCGCGTCAGCCATCCGCCTATCCCATTGCATGGTGAAAATTGCCTTTTTTGTGCCCTCCTCCTCAGGGTTCTCCGAGCCCAAGATAACGAGCTTAGGGCGATACCCCCCGACTTCGAAACGCTAACAGCGCTCGAGGAGCTTCGCCTGGGCGGAAACCAGCTCAGCAGCCTTCCGGCCTCCTTGCACACCCTAACGAAGGTAATCGCATAATCTCAGGTGGTTGCCAATAGCACAAAAGGTACAGGGAGCAGGGGAATAGGAGGTATCCTTCGAGACAAAATGATTGTCAAAGGGAAGGTGAGCAGAAAAAGGACGCCAACAGCGGCATGAGCAATCTCGCCAAATTTAACACACTCGATGTTGTTGTACGAACGCCAGATGCGATACGCGGAGCTTTCTCGAAACTCCATGGAGTCTCCGCCGCCGGTGACGCGGCAGTGGCCCCTGCTGACGCATCTTGTTCTCTCCAGAAACCCTTTGCGGGGTAGACGTCGACAATCCCTCCGCTTGCTCCAGGCTGCCCAGCGGGGACACGACGCCATGCACAGAGGGGTAAGGGGCAAGACCGCATGACACGCAACTACGAGAGATGCACTAGCAGCAGCTGTTTCGAAGGGTCAGATGGCAACGGATATGAAAAATCGAAAAATCGGACACTGAGGATGACCACGGTATAGCGAGTTGAAAGAAGCTTCGAATGATTAAGAACATTCATCGCCGTCGTTCTTCGCGTGTAGATGGTAATACTATGATATTGGCTTTCTTGATCAGCGAACGCCCTCCCCCTCCCCCACCAAACACACGAAAATAAACGGAAAGGATTGGGAAGAGGCGGCCCGGCTCCTGAACGTGGCAGCCGAGGCCTACGAGGACGTAGTCCACGTCGTGCCCGACTTCCCTGATGTTGCCGGCGAGGGTCCTGCTCTTGCCAAGACGAGGCCTCACGACATGGACACGTTCCACCACGTCAACTTGGCTATGGCGCACCTGCAGGGGGCTAGGAAGGTTGCGATCGAGATCGATGACATGACCGGAAAGACGGAGTGAGTATTCAGGATAAGTGGCACTAGACTTTAAACATGTTTTACTGTGCGTGCGTTATGCTTTCAAGGTGGACCAATTAGTCGGAGTGCGGTGTGTACCAGAGTGGATGGAACGTCCCGCAGTGGTGACCCTGTTCACTACAGGTGGTCCTGCCGCAGAGCGCGTAGGAGGTCGCTATGTAGAGCCAATCGATTGGCTCCGGGTTGTGTGTCTACGATATCCGTCAGTTAGTCAGACAACCGCTATTCTAGGACAACCCACCATGACGACACACGCGCTTGGTCCCTCATGACGGTATGGCTGTATCGCCGTGTTTTCACCCACCACAACTCAGTGGGGCCTCCGGGAGCAGCGTCGCAGGGAGTTTGAGCTTGCAGAGCGTAGACATGACGGAGGACTCCTCCATGGTCACTACGTCGATGGACACCGGAGAGCGCGAAGAGCGCCGTCAACAGGTATGACCCTATTCAAGCCACGAAAAAACGAACCATGTGTATGAAACCTTCATCGCTACACCGGGTCCACCAAAATGTTAAGTTTGGCCACCTTCATTGGTTTGCGGGACGGAGTGTGGTTCAAACAGTGACGGATCCCTGTGAGGTTTCGTCGGTTTACATATGTGTCTAGACCAAATTCTGGTCTTGATCAATTTTTCTACGCGGCGAAAAGTTTCAGTGCGCCGTCGTAACGCTTTCCCTCAGCATCATGTAGAGCGTACATGAGCGTATGGAGCCCCTGTACCTAGAATCTGAAGTGTTGGGTATCGCCTTCTGACCTGATCTACCGAAAACGAAGAGCTTTCGGCTTCACGACAAGACACGAAAAAAAGTAGAGGAGGCCAACCGCGAGTCATCCGTCGCTCTCGTCCTACCCTTCGATGAAAGGGACACGAAGGAAAATGCTGCCTGGTGGTCGATGGTTCGAAACGCACAAGACATGATCATTTCGTCTTTTGATCACAAGATACCTTCAATACTTGGCAACCTTATCCACCACACTATATGCCCAGGAAGTGGAACGTGCATACCTGCGGGAAAAGAGAAACCACCACCATGGAGCCGCTCTATTAGCCTTCTCTTACGCAGATCAGCTAGAGCAGCTGTCACGCCCGGTGGGGCGATCGGCGGGAGTGTGGTTGGGCAGGGCGGCCGTCACGGCTGAAATGGGCAACCCTGGAGTTGCACTGGATGATCTGGAACTCGCTTTGGTTCAACTCCGGAAGAACGCAAAGGTAGATGCGGGTTGAAAGTCATATGGTATCAACAATGTCGGGAGTTCAGATGGGGGGGATAGGGAAGGAGGGAACAGAGGAATGCGACATCAGTCGAGTGGGGTGAGTAGTAAGCTACTTTGCCTCGAAGATGTGCTTCACCTGGTTGTACGGAGGGAGGACCATTAGACAGCTGTTCTCCTAGACTCTACCCTTGCATTTGGTTGGCGGAAGTGAGACTGGCAGCCGGCCCCAAGATCCTCCATAGGATTATTGGTAGTTGTTCCCGATATTTCCATGTCCGATCAATCGGTAGGGACGTCTTTCATCAGTTGCGGACGAGAAAACAGCATGTGAGAGTAAATCAATGTATAGCCAAGGCTTGCCGTTTCATGTCTACCTTTCGTCGATAAGGAAGGCTTGTTCGAGTTGAGTAGGGCAAGGGGCTCTCGTTTTCATGCCTTTTGGTCCCAGAAGTAGTTCAGGCTGAATCTGGTGGCACGGTTGCCACACTAGGTTTGACACCGCTTGCTGGATACCCACAGCAGAGCTTGCTTGCCACCATTGACATTGCGTAAAAAAACACGCAGAACAGACAGGCCTACTTAGAGGCGTCCGCTTCTCTTACTGGTTCCGCACAAACCACTGTCGAAAGGTCCGGTTTCTGCTTGCCAAGTCGAGGATAGAGCTGGGTCAGTACCAGCGGGGTTTGACCGACTGTGAGGTGGCTTCACGTCTGTTGGATTTCGAAGAACGTCTTCTGGGGGAGAGAGAAGCCGAGCAGGTGAGGTGCCGGTACCGCTGTGGTAGTGCATTCCCTTACTTTGAGCAGTCTAAGCGACATATAATTCAGGTTATGCAGGGTTGGGCTTAGGCCACTAAACCTTTTTGACGCAGGAGGGCATGTGATGTTCCATGTTCCTTCGATAAACCGGGTAGAGGATACGAGAATTGATGAAGCCGTTAGGCGAGTTCCTTAGGAATGCTCCGTTCAAGGATAAATCAAGCAAATCGACTTGGTCGGTGTGTCTTTAGCTCAACAGTAGCCCCAGGTCGCCCACCACCCGAAACTCGCTGTCCCTCGCATGGGATCAAAGAACTTTTTCTTGTTTCGTTGGAAACCACCAAAACGCTCTCTCGACTTCTTGCTCTTTCAGAATCCTATCTGAGGCATGGAAGAATATGAACTCTCCGATGTCTTCTCTCATTTGAGTGTTGTCTAGATTTTCCGTAGCGTTTCGAGTAGGGCTGCGAACAAATTTGCGCAGGTTCCATCCCTCTGTCTTTTGTCGAAATCGCGCAATACATGGAGAGCAGGACGATCGCTGACAAAAGGTGGGTGAAGGCAGATTTAGACCGACCTATGCATACATCGTACAATCTTCTGGGTTGTTCTATCATGCGTCTCCACCTAGCTCTCCGCGCCCACGTTGTTGACAAAATGTTCCCGGCGAATGAATCCTCAAATGCCACGACAACATACAGGAACGTAAGGAAAAAAAAGCGGAGTCGGATCGCAAGACGAACGAGAGGTTGGCCGTCCGACAGCGCCAAGCAGCGGAGGCAGAGGCGGAAGCGAAACGGTTAGAAGAATCTGCCATGGCAGACGTGAAGGAAGATAAAGAGGAAGCCGTGGTAGTGGAAGAAAGCTCGATAGCTGCTTCCAAAGCTGATAGTTCGTCTCCCGATGGGACAAGATCAGATCAATCAGCAGCCGGCAATACTGTTGTCACCGCGATACCATCGACAAAAACAGCTGCAGTCGATTCCTCCGAGGAAGGAAGCAAGCAAGCCGAGGCTTTCGCCCTTACCGGAGATGCAGTCGCGGCTGCCGACAGCGCCGATTCAGCAGGGGAGATAGGAGATACCTTGCCGACTATCACTGAAGAAGAACCCCCCGTTCCGGAAGCAGGAGAGGTTGTTGGCAATTCGTCCATCTCCGAAGACGATTCGGACAAAACGGGACACCAAGGCCAGGCCATAGACGAGAGGGGTGCCAGAGAAAGAGCGGACGGCGGCAGGTCAGAGGCGGAGCCAAGTTCCGAAAATAAGCGCCCTATTACAACATCACCGACGCAAAACGAAGAAAGCTTACAGGAGAGCCTGTGGTTAGAAGCAGCCGGGGGGTTGTCGTCGCGAGAAAATGAACTCCGAGAGGGAGGGAGTCTCGGAAGCGCTTCTGTTGGCACTGCTCCCAACACCGATGGAAAGAGAAATCAAAGGAACTCGGTGAAAGACAGCCCCGCACGGGCAGAGCTATCGAAACAAAGAGCAGACATCGCGCTTCTCGTGGCACAAGCGAAAGAGGGGATGGCCTATGTCGCCCAGTCCATCGACATGGCCGATATTAAGAGGGGATTCGTGTTCACCCCGCATGGAGTGCCGGTAAGGGACACCGCTATCAGACGGGAACTTCTGCGGGACGGGCGGAGCACTCTCCGCACAAGGTCTGAATTGAAGCGTCAAGAGTGGGGGGTTAACAAGAAGGTTGTGCACTCAATTCGCGAACGACTGTAGTCATCAGACGACAGGTCCTCGCACCGTTACTGAGACAGAACGGAGAGCGCCTAGCGGCATTCAGTCGGCTAGACGGTGGGGGGGGGACAAAGCATTCACCCTTTGTCCAAGGGCTTGCACACAGATGATATCACAGTATTCATACTCCCATAGAAACTTCTGTATTCAGACGGCATCTCGCCCCACTCGTCTCACGGGAACCTATCTGCCCATACGTCTGCAACATCTTTCGTTCAATACTTAAAGTGTTTATCGTTGATCTGCCTAGCCGATGGGATTTCTCGCCATGTTACGCCTTCACCTATCGTCAAGGTACTTCCTTAGCTAAGACATCGAGTTTCTTGCTCGTACGGCCTCAGACATGAGCTTTTGCACCCGTATCGTAGCACGAATCAAGTACGGGTTTGGCCGGCGAAGCTTGCGCAAGTTTCGGTCTGACAACGATGGGTTCAGCAAGGCTTCTGTACTCATGTACAGTACTTGCTAAAGATCGTCTGGTGCGCATAGCTCACACAGCGCACCCATCGTTGTGTCTTTTTGTGGCTGGTGCTCCACCATCGCCCCTGTTATGGACATCCTATCGTGTGCCTCGTGTTTGTTGCCATCGCCCCCTGTACAGGAAGGGACGCCTGCAGATTCATGTTGCCACACGTACGTGTGAGCTGTTGTTGAGTTGTGACCGAACACTACCTAACGAAATATCTTCGTCGAATAAAACAACAATAACACCAACATTTGACACTCAAATCACCAATAGGCATCGGCGCCTGCTAGCCGTGGAGGCAGCGAAGAAGCGGGAGAGGGCGAGAGACGCAGGTCTGATGCGGAGGGCATTCAGGCAGGCAGACGCAAGGCAGAAGGCTGGTCGGGCGGCCAAGGCCAGGTAGGTGTGTTCATGGATGATTGTAGACGCAAGTGGATATATATATCCCTCCCTAAGTCAGCGTCGGGGAACATCCACCTACGTCTGTAAGTATGTATCAGTGACGAAGTATCCTGTCGATCTGGATGCAGAACTATATATTTATAATGAAAATATACCTGGTACGCGGTATCGGAAAATATTAGATGGCAGCTTTGTTTGGAGAACAATCGTTCGTGTTTGTTTAATACTCTAAACTACATTCCAGCCACTGGAAGTATCAACTAAACGTGCAATTTGTCAGGAACAACGTGAAGAGCAGGAAACATAAACAACATGGCAAGTATCGAGCAGGTCTGGTTATTGATGTTGAATGCTGCGTGATACACTGCGTAGGCTTTTTTGAAAAGATGGTTGATCTACGTCTTCAATCGGCTTCTTTTTTGCTTCCCATGTTCTGCGTGTGTGTGTTCGTTGTCGTAGAAAAGCGGCCGCAATGGCCATATACAGAGACGTTGAGGAAGCATGGGAGCGTGAACAGGAGGAGAAGGAGTCGACGAAACGCATCGAAGCGGCCAAGAGGGAGGTGGAGCTCGAAGTGTTGGTGAGACGAGAGCAATCGGGGGCAGCTATAGATGCTGCTCCATTGGCGTGGCTCCTCGTGAAATATTTGTATGTAGTTTGATCATTCACACCATCCTCTAAGCATAGATGGAGAAGCATCGGACGCTTGATTGATGGGTCCATAGTCGACGTTCTTCCAGCAATGAGTGGTAGCATACAGTCCCAGTTTTTTTCTTCACCTCACCTCATATTGCAGAGAACACACTACTGGAGACTACCGGATTCTGTAAGGCGTGTTCAGGGTGGTTAAGGACGCTGAACATGATATATCGCCGTACCTCAACCTTTCCGAAAAAGTCACATCCCCCCCCGGTCCATTGATTCCTGTCTCCGAAAATAACCAAAATCACCCCACGCCGGCATCAAAAGGCTGCCGCCGAAGAAAAAGCACAGGCAGAGGCTGCTCAAAGCGGAATCGACAAAGGTCAAGACGGTGGTGATGAGACACGAGTCAAGAATGATAACGCGCCGGTGGTGTCAGTGTTTCCGGTAGCGGCACCGGGAGGACCAGCAAAGTCGCCCTCGTCAAGCACACCCACAACAAAACTGACAAACGACCCCACGAAAGGTCAGAGGCAGCAGAAGCAACAAGAGGAGGACGAGGAGGACGAGGAGGAAGATGATCCCGAACTGCGAAAAGTCTTGGCCAGGAGAGCGGCGGCAGGGGCGAAGAAGGTGGCCGGGCGGCGGCGGTAGCCGTTGTTTGTTGCCGGACCGGCCTGGCACTTGTCTTTCGTGTAGACCGAGGCATGAAATATCCCTTGTTTATCCAAACGTTGTTGATGCTGCTGGTGTTGTTGTACATACGACAATCCCTAATGGTTGTGTCCATGGTTCTTCTACGGTACATTTATTTAGTGAATCCCATCAAGCAGCCACCCCCCCCTCAAAGGTTGAGGGTCGGTCCAGTCGGTGAATCATTTTTGAAAAGTAGGAAAAACACCGTTTCCTCCAGTACTTGATGCCCTTTCTCCACAGCCAAGAAGCAGGTGAACGAGCAAATGATGGGTCCAACATCGATTATCGTCAGGCATCTTTACCATTCTGGTGTTGTTTGAAAGGCAGACAACCGGATGGCGGTGTTAGTTGTGCTACCTGTCGTCCGGTTCCTAGTCCTGAGTTACAAACACGAACGAACGCTACATTGGTAATACGAGGTGCACTATTTGGTGTGGAGGCAAGCGGCTAATTAGTCGATAGCCACCTAGAACGGCTAACGTCGGTGGTGTTCGTGCACGTGCTGCTCGCTCACGGTGGACCACACGGGGTGATTGGTCGTAGTCTAGACCAGGGATCCCGTTGAGAGGCGTTCCCACAACGAGGCTAACCGTTGAGGATGGTTTTCGCTCGGAAAGGAGGAGAGAGAGACACACACAGTGGCTCTAAAAATACCTCTTTTACGTCGTAGCTGATCAACAACGACCCGTACTCGTCGAAAACAATCGGTCGGAACCAAAACTTCCTGTAAAAACGGCATATCTATCTAGACAAAACAATCGGCCATCAAAACAAGGGAGGACTGTATTTTCTCTGGGCACAATTGGTTGTCCTTAAGACGAGGGTGGAACTGTGAGGTGTTTGCGTAGTTTCTTTTGCCACGACCTCACTACATCATATCCAACCAGTCGAAAGAGTCCTACCATCTACCATTGTTTGGAGTGAAAATTTCTGCCAATTTTCTCCTAACGGGCGGACTCTCTTCCGTGTTAACTAAGCTTTGACCGGCTCACGTAGCAGCGTTCAGCCTACAACAGAAAAGCGAGCTGAGGCCCTCGCAGCGAAAAGGTGTACCTACATCACATAGGGTGTGGCTTACGTCTGACATGCCGACCACGGGGACTTTCGGATGGACGGACCCCCGTTTCTGCGGCGGTCATCATTGTACTGTCCTGGCGGGAGGGATCACTGCAACACGAGCAAGGCAGTATATGGTGCGGCAACACTCTCACTTTTTCCTCGAAAATCGCATACTCTCGACCTACAGTTTACAGTAAGTGGCATTGCCACCCTCGGGAAAACATACCTATTTTCGGATGCATGAGCCACACAACGATTGAGCAATTTCATTTAACGCTTCCGGCAAGCAACCAATCAATATCATCAGCGCTACTTTGAAGTGGTGCACATGCCAAATTGGAACTATTAATACATTTTCTTTGCTATAGCGTTTAGCTAACAGGGCGCCCTTCTTGCAGAATACTACTACCACAGTCCAGACGACGCTGCCAAGTGTCATACAATAGTGCCAAACACACCTCTCTCCCTACAGATTCTCCCTTCTTCCCCTCGCTCCTCGACAAGCTTTTGCTTAGACATGGGTTGTAGTGAAGGGGGGGGTCTTTCTGGCGAGCAGGGCTAGACTCACCCTCAAGGGATGACCGAAACCTTCTTGCTGCTGCGCATATCCGCCGCGAGGCATGCGCGTGGTG